TTCAGATTCAATTCTGGTAAAAAGCTTGTCAGCTTCACTCACATCACAGCAAAGCGTTTTTTTTTACAGCTAATCTGATTGTCCCACATCGGACACCTTGGTGAGCACACGCTTTGTTAACCTGCTGGTGTGTTCAGAACAACTCCACTCACGCTGTGTTTCAGTCACAAACACTCAGCCGAGTGGGAAGAGGCTGAAGTTAGAGGAGGGTGATCTCATCCTTAGATGCAGCGAGGATGATGTCAGATTTTAGATCAGAGCTCTCCTCTCGTGCTGCTGTCGAACTCCTTTAATTGTTTATGTTTTGAAGGGCCACGAGGGCCCGGGGAGGGGAGCGGGTGTGGTGAGAGGGTGGCATACACCACAACTCTGTTAGTGCCTGATACTGGTGTATAGCCATGACTGTCTGAACTCAGGAAGTGGTGCTTCTGCCCTTATATGATCATGATTAAACAGAGTATTTGCACATTTATAACATTAAAATGTCTTATTTGTGTGCAAAATTTTTCTTCTCTTATCTTTAATCTTCCTTTTGTATTATTTTTGCATATTCGTTGTCTATATTTCCCTCCTCTGTCCTCAGGCTTCTCTCTCTCCTATCCTTGTTGTCCTTGAATCTCTCCAAAAATCTCTGTGATCTTTTATTTTCTGTCCCCTGCTCCACTTTTTTCACCTCTACCACTCCCCAGTCGCTCTTTACATCTGTCTTTGTTTCTCCATTCCTCTTCCCAATCTGCATCCAGTGATCTCATTTCCAGGACTTGTGCGAAATGTAATGTCAAACATTCATTTCCCATCAGAGAAGGACGGTAAGGAGAACAGAGTAGCAACCACCCTGATGCGACCTCATGCATGTTTGTGTCTCTCCTCCGCCTCTTTCATCTCACACACTGGTGAACAGCATGGTGACATCATGTAGGCTGTGTGAGCCGAATGCAGGATCAGAGAGCAGCTATTGCACAGATGTTTTAAATCTGTTCTGTTACTAACAGCTTACCTACAGCTTCATTGTCTTTCATTCAGACTTTGGATGGTTTTAAAATTAATTTGGTTCCAAGAAGACATAATACAAGCAGATAAAACCAAGACTCAAATATCAGTGTTAAAGAACAAAAAAAATATGGTGTAGATTTTTGTCTAAATATTCAAACTGTAGTACTGTTAGTATTAGAAATTTCTCAAAAAAGCAAAATATAAAGTCAAGAAGGCACCTGACCCCGCCCTTACTTAATACCCCAGTTAGATTGCACCAAGCTGTGGTGCTCAGTGCTCTGGTACAGAAACCTCGGGGTCTGATGTTTGCTTTATGATAATTGAAGATCTTGACGTCTTTAGCTACTCCGAGGCTGTGTCCAAACATCTGGCCTAACTCCTATAGAGAGCACTAAATATGGGTTACGCCATTTTATATGAGTGTCAGAATGTCTAATGGATGAAAAATGCAACTTAAAAAGTAGTGTGCATCCATGGGCTGTTTCCAAACATCCACCCTAATCCTAATGGGACTATAGTGAACTTGGTTAACTGAGCAGTCATGCTTCCTGCACAGTGCCTCAGGTACCTTTGTTGTTTCTCGGTCCCAAAACAAATCCCATGATGCTTTGTGAGGAGAGCTCTCGCATAGCATTCCAGGATATATCTGCTCCTCTAGTAACCATGGATGCATTCTAATTCTATAGGTGCATTTTGGGAAATTTTGAGTTCAATATTTTTGCATCCACTAGACGTTCGGACACTCATATAAAATGGCGTAACTATTATAAATCTCTACATAGGGGTTAGGGCAGATGTTCGGACAAAGCCTTAGTCTGATGCAATGGATTTTAACCAGAAAAATCCTTCGTTGAGTCTGAGTTTTTCTGTACCTAATACATACAATGATTAAAAAAAACACCAAAAAAACATGCATGTTAAAATAAGGCGATATATGCTGGTAGTGTTCACTTTTTTATGAATTCGAATCCTGCCAGAAGGTTGATAAATAATATATATATATACATAGTGCAACTAGCTTCTATAGCTTTTCTTCCTTTGAAAACTTTAAAATGGTGAGTAAACAGGTTAAGGGATTTTGATTAGCTACTAATCAGAAACTTTTGTATACATAATCCTGGATACAAAAAAACCCAATAATACTAAACTGTACTCCTCTCACTGTGAGAAATCACTACAGGCAAAAGAGTAATAACTGTCGTAGTAGTGCCAGTATTGTAATTTCATTATTGCATCAGGTTGTAATCCAGACGAGATCTAACATTTAAATTAAAAGGTAGTGGAAACCAACTGCATTTAGATTAGTTACCATGGAGACAGTCAAAACAACAGTCTCCTACATAGTGATGGGAATCATCTGCTTTAAACATGACATCCTTCTGTCCAACAATTAGAGGAATCCTGATTGCTGTGCATGGAGTCAAGAAGCTCTGCAAGAACAGAGGTTCTGTTTAGCCATTTGCTTTTCGTTCTTAAAATGTGCTTCTGTAAGAGCCCTCTGAGAAAGTTCAGTCATGAATTCACTGCATGTTGAGCTAAAGACCTTTGAAGCATTTGGTTTGTTTCTTGTGTTTACCTTTTGATGTTAATATTTTTGTGCCATCACCCTTACATTCGTCTGTTTGTGGGGAACTTCAGTGGCACGGGAAGGGGGGTGCTGCGGGGGCTGCAGCCTCCCTCGTCATAGCATCAGCCCCCCATGGTGGGGGGCTGTGGAGTAACATAATATTGTACTTAAAAACATGAAATTATTTATGTATTTATTTTTTAAAAGACTGTGTTTGATATGGGATTAAAATGATGGGCTGTGTATAAGATATAAACTAATGATTCATTATTTTAATATTTCATAAAAAAACTAGGCTACTCCCCCGGAAGCTTCCGCCACCTCACATTCGTTTAGGCATGGCTAGCAATAGGCAGCAGAAACGTACTTCTGACTATTTCGAGGTGAGAAATGGTTTTAATTCCCCTATACGCTAGAATAAGGCTGCATATCACTAAATATTATGTCTGTATTAAGCTATTAAGTGATAAAATATGAAATTAGTTGTTTTTTTTTGTGTGTGTGTTTTTTGTTTCAGATATGAAATTATTCCCCATATCCATAGTCGAATGGACTTTCAAGACGTTCAATGCTCAGTTTAGGCTATATTTAGGCCATGTTTCATTCAAGTATTCCTGATCCTGTTGATTGCGAGCTGTTGTTTGTTTTGAATGATTAAAAGAGAAGAAATAAAGTTTAAAATGTTCATGCTTTGTTCCGATGCATTTTAAATGGCAGTTTTTGGCGACACATGTAGGCCTACAATACTATGTTAAAAACAACAGCCACAGCCCTCAACATAATCACGTCACGTGTTTTCCAACCCAGCCATCAGCCCCCCTCGCTTGAAACAGCTTCCAGCGCGCCTGGGGAACTTTGTGAACTTTACTAGTGAAATGTTCTGGATAAAGTACTACTGAAGTTTCCACACCTCTTTACTTTAATCACATCAAACACAAAATAGTCTATTTTCTTTTTATAGAAAACGTATTTTATCCACCACAACAGACTGGCAACCTGTTCAGGGTGTACTCCGCCTCTCGACCATAGACTGTAGAGAAAGAGACAGAGGAGATAGAGGCACCGGCCCCACCGCAACCCTGAGGGAATAAGCAGGAGATGGATGGATGGATGGATGGATGGATGGATGGATGGATGGATGGATGGATGGATGGATGGATGGATGGATGGATGGATGGATGGATGGATGGATGGATGGATGGATGGATGGACGGACAGATGGACGGACGGACGGACGGACGGATGGATGGATGGTTTGATGGATGGTATTTGATCATGTTAGGTGCATGATTGCAAAGTAGAAAGTGAAGAAAACATGTTTTTTTCAAATTCTTCTATAAGCTAAATGCATTTTATGCATTTTAATTCAGCCTTTACTCTGAGACCTCTTAATAAAATCCAGTGCTACAGACCAATAAACTGCATGGCTGACTAGGCAGCATTAATTGCAGAAGCTGTTCAGTGAGCAGACCTGTTGGAGCTGCATAGATATACAGCTCAGGCTGGTGAATCTGTTTACAGGATAACTATTATAGTTTTGTAAAAAGCTAAATCAGCAAGTTTTATTTTAGGTTTGCAAGGAGCTATGAAGGGAACATAAAACCTGCAAAGGACGGGGACTGAAACTGAAGATTCTCCTTCCAGCAGGACAGCGATCCACCCACAGCTGCAATGGTTTCATGCTGATTGATGTGGTAGAACGGTCAAGTCAAAGAGGATCAAATAAAAATAAGAATCTGTTTAGAGACGTGAACAATGATGCTAACAAATGCCCCCCAGAGAATTTTATCAATTCAGGGAATCTTTTCAATAATGCAACAGAAAAGAAAAAAAAAACAGATGGGCGTTGGCAGACATACAACAAAGATATAAATGCAGGAAAAGGGCGTTTGACAAAGTGGATTCTAAAGGGGCTGAATATAAATACATGCCACACTTTTCAGTAATTAATTTTGTTAGAAATATTTTTCAAAGCCTGTTTGCAGCACCTTTGAGAACGAAAATTCGGAAAGAAAACAGAGGATTGTAAAAGTACTAATCTGAGTAAAGCTTTTAAAAATCTGTATGTTTAGATTAGTTTCTTTAGAGGTGTTTGTTTCAGGATGTAAAACTGAGTCTCAGGATTTCATTTTTTCCTTCTTTTACAGTCTGCACCTAAATAATTGATATTGTCACATGCCTTCAAGCTCAGCCTCCTGCTGAGAAACACAGACACACAAGCGGCTCCTCACTAATTTCTAACATTGCCATCCTTCTGCTCAGCACACACATATCTGCACACACCCACAGTCCCACCCTCCTGCACCATACAATAAAACACTGACTCCTACACCCACCCTGCAGTACAACACAAAGAGCTGATGACCCTCCCTCAGCTAACTTCCTCCCCTCTCCCATTGGCCGAGAGGCCTGGATGCTGGCAGTGTCACCAACCAATGAGGCGTCTCCAAGGTGATGTCATGGAGGCAGCATTGATGCTGTTGCTGATGCTGTTGCCCGGCGCCTGCATCCACAGAGCCAGACGGAGGGTAACCACAGTCAGCCGTCCAACTTCAGCAGCAGAGACCGCAGGAACAGAAACAGAAACAGGGTAAGTCTAAGGAATCCAGGGTGACCCAACAGGGTCACCCTGGATTCCTGTAGTTAACTCTGATCATATAGCTGGCAGCGGGCTTTTCGTGAGGGCGATCGGAGTGAGGGGGAACAGATCCACCTTGATTTGGGAGCAGAGAGAGAAAAGAATAGAACTCTACTGTAATCTCTGTCATCTATTATTGATCCTGGAGGACTTTAAAATGGAGCATCCCTTTATGGAGAGAAGGGTGGGGGTAGAAAATGGGGGAGGGGGGGCAGAGGAAGTCTGCAAAAAATAAAAAGGTAAAGGTGGTTAAAAAAAAAAGTAAAAGTTCAGATTTTCCAGCTCTGTTTTATTCCCTGTAGTAATACTTTAATAGGCGTTATAGAATCCTCTTATACTTTTCATGCAAATATAAAGTTAGATACAGCACTTTACTAAGTGACATTTAGTTTATGAAAAATTATAATTTTGGATCTGGTTGAGATGTTCTTTATTTCATGGACTCGTAAGAACTTCCCCCCTGTAATATTATTAAGATCATTAAGAACCTGATTCTCCAGGTTTGGGAAAAGTCTGGATTAATCCTTACAGCAGCATCGGAATGTATGCAAGATGGAATTTAAATAGAAGAAGAGAAATTAGAAAGGAACATGTGAGTTCTTCAATCTGAAGCAGTATTAGAGAAACTATTTCAGCTTTTCTTCTTTTTCTTTCTTTTTAAATAAATAATCAATGTTTCTGTTGAAGTTAGATTTAAAAAAAAAATTACTTCAGTTTTCTTTCTTCTCAGTCTTGATGTCTACAAACTCTGCCTTCAGAAAAAATTCACTTACTTGCAATCATGAAGCACTATCACCTTATAGGCTGCAGAAAGTCCCCATTTTGACCTGGCGGGTGTGGCGCCTTCATTTTATACACTTTCACTCAACAGATACCCGTTGATGTTTGTTACCACAGTTTCAAAGTTTCTGTCTGGTATTAATGGATGCAAAATATGTTGTGTTTTTTGATCAGATGTTCTTGTTTGGAGAGTAAAGGGAACCTTTTTACATTAGTGATTGCAAATAGGAAACCCCACCCACTTTCAGCTAGTGTCTTCTTCATTGTTTTAAATAATTGTTTAATATTAAAATATAAAAATTTGCTTTAGTTTTGTTTTTTTATAGGCATGTTTGGATTCAAAAACTAATACTACAAGATTACTTCCACATAATATCACCACTCAGTTCACTGCTCTGAATGGCATTTCCCATCAGCATGGCCTCAAAGTTCCCCAGCATGTGTCTTTGTAAGCTGCTCTTCTCCGCTGTGAAAGAACAACACATGGAGCACATCCACCCCAGCAGGAAGCAGTGCATTGATCTGCAACCGTGGTGGTTTCACAAGATCGGATGCAGTGTTTGTGTGAATGTGTGTGTGGGTTCTGGAAAGCCAGCCGTTTAGGGTCTGATTAGTATGTAAAGGCTGTCCTTGTGTGTGTCCCTCCCTCTGGGAGCCATGGCAGGCAGGTCATTTAAGGGTGTGCCTTGCAGCATATTTGGTCTCATTCTAGCTAGTGTCTTTCTACTACAGATTTTTTTTTTTTTTCAGTGCAGCTTGTCTTTTTCCATTTCAATGTTGGAAGCAAATGGCTAGCCTGATTTAATTACCCAGCAGGGTTAGCAAACAGAGCCAAGTTAACTGGAAATATATGCTAGTATGATGACTGGAAATGTTCAAATGTCAGAGTTTGAGGGAGTTCTTCCACAATGATTTAGTTTCCCTGACCTAGGTTGTATTAGAGCATATGGTTGTATTAACTGATTAGGGACCCCACCTATAGCTCAGTCTGTCACAACACCAAAAACCTGAGCAGCAAGATCTTTTTTATCACGTCAATGATGCCTGAATGTGCAAACTGAACAGAACCAGTTTTATTGTTAAATTTTTTTATTTTTCAATATTCATTCCTATTTATTTTGTTAATCTGTCTTCTTTATTTATTTTTTTATTTTTTGCTTGAATCAGACAAATGTAACATCAATAATTAATTTCCTCAGCTCTATCAGTGACTACTGTTCTTATGATGTAAATTTGTGTTAATGTTGGCATCATAACCAGAAGTAAATATTTATATATTTGGGACCCATCAAAATGTATAAAGCAATTACTTATATGCATTTTTTCCAGTAAACTCAGTACTTTATTCATTACAACTCTCCACATTCCTAAGTAATCATTTTGAATGAAAAGTTGATCCTATGATCTTAAATTAGATATTTTGTTTCCATGTAATAAGTCCTTGTATTATTGAACTTTAATATGCTGTCCAGTTTTATTAGATTAGAGTAAAATAGCCTTTCAGTTTAGCACAGTTTTACACCATCTTCATTCTTTCTATGAGAAACTGGGCCAATCATGATGAACATAATGTGCAGCACTGAAGCCCCCCTGTTGGTTATGCAGCATCTTATCATAAGCCTCATGTTGGCTGTTTTTATCAGAAACAAAGAAAGTTAGCCTAGCATCAATGCTATGGCCACTACCATAATCTTTACCCTCACTATGATATAAAAAATAAATGTATCTTCATCAGCATAAATTTAAAACATTCAATGTTACTTTTTGACTTTTAAATAAGAAAGAAATGTGAGGTAAAACATTAATTGATCAGTATAATCAACCGGTTTCCTTAATCATTGTTCCTTTACTGAATCATTGTCCTCTAAATCTGATTTCAAATTTTCTCTTTCTTAAGACAATTATTCTCCAAATCAAGTAAGTTTCTGAAACAGCTGGGCTCTTGGCAGGCCCTCTATAGCAGATGTTAGATTAAATTAGGCTCATATCAGGAGGCACCAGAGCGTCTCCACCTTTAGTGGAAAGAGTTACATGAAATAAGTCATTTTTGGTGCTGAGAGTCTGATTCTAACCAAAAAAAAAAAAAAAAAAGCTTGGATGCAAAATGAAATTATCTCAAGGAAACCAGGGGAATTTAATCATTGTGTTCACTTACCCAAGAAGAATGAGAGGTTGCGCAGAATATGACTAGAGGTTTCATCTGCCTTAAGTCAGATTTCTGTCTGATAAGTTTTTTTTTTTTTTTCAATGAGACATCTGAAATGAAGTGAGAGAAATAAGAGAAAAGAGATTTATATTTTCCCTCAAATGCACAAGCTTGGATGGCACCAGCTGACATTTTTAACGACAAAGTAATAGCAGGCGGCTATGAAATCTGATCCAACAATTTCATGCCCTGCTGCCTCTTCGTCTTGCTACACACTTTTCTTTCCCATTTTTAAATACAGGTGCTGGTCATAAAATTAGAATATCATGAAAAAGTAGATTGATTTCAGTAATTCCATTTAAAAAGTGAAACTTGTATATTATATTCATACATTACATACAAACTCATATATTTCAGATGTTTATTTTGTTTAATTTTGATGATTACAAATGACAACAAATGAAAATCTCAAATTCATCATATCAGAAAATTAGAATATTACTGAAGACCAATAAAAACAAAGGATTTATAGAAATGTTGGCCAACTGAAAAGTATGAACATGAAAAGTATGAGCATGTACAGCACTCAGTATTTAGTTGGGCCTCCTTTGGCCTGTATTACTGCAGCAATGCGGCGTGGCATGGAGTCGATCAGTCTGTGGCACTGCTCAGGTGTTATGATAGCCCAGGTTGCTCTAATAGTGGCTTTTAGCTGTTCTGAATTGTTGGGTCTGGTGTATTGCATCTTCTTCTTCACAATACCCCATAGATTTTCTATGGGGTTAAGGTCAGGAGAGTTTGCTGGCCAATTAAGAACAGGGATACCATGGTCCTTCAACCAGGTACTGGTAGCTTTGGCACTGTGTGCAGGTGCCAAGTCCTGTTGGAAAATGAAATCTGCATCTCCAAAAAGTTGGTCAGCTGCAGGAAGCATGAAGTGCTCTAAAACTTCCTGGTATGTGGCTGCGTTGACCCTGGACCTCAGAAAACACAATGGACCAACACCAGCAGATGACATGGCACCCCAAACCATCACTGACTGTGGAAACTTTACACTGGACTTCAAGCAACGTGGATGAAGTGCCTCTCTTCTTTTCCTCCAGACTCTGGGACCTTGATTTCCAAAGGAAATGCAAAATTTACTTTCATCAGAGAACATGACTTTGGACCACTCACCAGCAGTCCAGTCCTGTTTCTCTTTAGCCCAGGCAAGACGCTTCTGACGCTGTCTGTGGTTCAAGAGTGGCTTGACACAAGGAATGCGACAGCAGAAACCCATGTCTTTCATACGTCTGTGTGTGGTGGTTCTTGAAGCACTCACTCCAGCTGCAGTCCACTCTTTGTGAATCTCCCCCACATTTTTGAATGGGTTTTGTTTCACAATCCTCTCCAGGGTGCGGTTATCTCTCTTGCTTGTACACTTTTTTCGACCACATCTTTTCCTTCCCTTCGCCTCTCTATTAATGTGCTTGGACACTGAGCTCTGTGAACAGCCAGCCTCTTTAGCGATGACCTTTTGTGTCTTGCCCTCCTTGTGCAAGGTGTCGATGGTCGTCTTTTGGACAACTGTCAAGTCAGCAGTCTTCCCCATGATTGTGTAGCCTATAGAACTAGACTGAAAGACCATTTAAAGGCTTTTGCAGGTGGTTTGAGTTAATTAGCTGATTAGAGTGTGGCACCAGGGGCCATCAATTTTGAACCTTTTCACAATATTCTAATTTTCTGATATGATGAATTTGAGATTTTCATTTGTTGTCATTTGTAATCATCAAAATTAAACAAAATAAACATCTGAAATATATGAGTTTGTATGTAATGTATGAATATAATATACAAGTTTCACTTTTTAAATGGAATTACTGAAATCAATCTACTTTTTCATGATATTCTAATTTTATGACCAGCACCTGTATATGATGAATTGAATAGGATTAAAGCTTGTTGCTATTTCCTGTGGCCTTTTCTTGCCACCACAAGTATTCATACTAGAGCCCAGCAATATTTAAAGCAATAACGGTCCACTTCCTGATTGTTCCCCTTCGCTTTTTTGCATCTTCAAATCTCCAGCATCACCTCCTGATCTTTGAAATGAGTTTTACCTGCTGGTAGTTCAAAGAGGTTTAGGGGCTTTACATCAAAGACTGAAGGGCTTTGAGGGTTCAGTTCTGGATGAAGGGAAACCAGAAAATAAGCCCAAGAAATGCAACCTCAGTATCTAAGTGAAAACTATTTTTTAAAACACAATGTTTTTTAGCCTTCAAACAAAACATTGTCACCTTCACACTTTACTGCAGCTTTCCTATTACTATGATCAAACCCTGAGAGTTGGTGCAATAGTCTGCACTAAGACTGCTCCCTCCTTTATCAGCAATCCAAACACCAGTTTGGCTCCGGTTCTAGTACCAAGGTGTAACAAGGTGAGAGAAAAGTCAGCTGGTTAAAAGAAAAATGGAACCCTTGTTTTTTCATACAAAAAACACAAATTCATTAGTTTAAAGAAACACAAAAATTTCTAAACACAAAATGTTTTAAATAAAGTTCATCCAGTAATGGCAGAGAAAAAAGCGGCCCCTCCAATTACACTGATAAAATACTGTCTCTGCTGCAGTAGGGGTTCCACTCATCTCTTTTTTCTTTTCAGGCATCAAGCCCATTGTACCAGTTTGTTGAAACTGATTTGATAAAATAAAGATTTCATTTTATACCTTTATTTATTTTAGGAGATTCAGTTGTGTTAGAGTCAGTGGGACTCATCCATCCATCCATCCATCACACAGCTGCAATGGGACTATCAGCTAAAATAACATTGATTATATAAATTGAAATTGTTAATTTCCATTTAGGTGGTTTTAAAGCATTTTTAACATATACCGATTGTCAGTAATGCTCCAATATGTAAAACTAATTGATAGCTGTTTGATAACTGATATCCACTTTATTGTGCATCTTCCAATGTTTATCCTTTACACATCTAAAATTATCATCATTATGTTAATTTGTGTTTATTTTAATATAGATGGTTGAAATTATGTAAACAGATGAAGCGTAAGACACAGAATCTACTTCTATAATGTTAAACTACACAAAATCATAGCTTATCTTAGCCTATCTAAACTTAGCCTAGCTAATCTCATCTAATTAATCAATAGGCTGCACATGGAGCAGTGGGTAGCACTGCTGCCTTGCAGCAAGAAGGTTCCCAGACCCAAGCTTATCTGCATGGAGTTTGCATGTTCTCCTTGAGCATGTGTGGGTTCTCTCCGGGTACTCCAGCTTCCTCCCACAGTCCAAAAACATGGCTGTTAGGTTAATTGGCTTCTCTAAATTCTACTTAGGTGTGAGTGTGAATAGTTGTTTGTCCTGTTTGTCTCCATGTTGCCATGCGATGGACTGGCGACCTGTCCAGGGTTTACACCGCCTCTATCCCATACACACCTGGAGATAGGCACCAGCACCCCTCACTACCCTTGCAGGGATAAAGCGTGATGGAAAATGGATGGATTGATAATTAATTTAATAAGAACTATAAAAACTTTATTAACCTGACAACCCACTGTGATACATAATTTAGCATAAATGCTACATGCTTATTTCAGATATAGGCTACCTCACTTTGTCAAGATAATGATATGTGATATTAGATTTTTTTCCCTCTATATTTAGAATATTATATTATTATATTAAGCTTGTGAGTCTATTGACATTTGACAGCCAATAAACACCTGAATCTGGATAACCTAATTCTAGCCTGAATATTAAAGGACTATTTAAATATTATTTAGAAGAAATGTATAATGCTCTTTAGAGCCCCCTATTGGTTTCATGGGAAACACTTCAGTTGATTTTTGATGCAGTATTACCACTTAGGGAAGTGTTTGGAGGATTTTTTTATTTTTTTTTTGTCACATTAAAATATTTTATATCAAGAAACAAATCACAGAAATGTTACAACAAGGAGTTTTCAAGATACATTTGTATTTTTTCTATGCTTTAATGTCATCCTTTGATTACAGTTGGGTCACTTTTGTTTCTTCAAAGGTGCACTTAAAAAAAAAAGGAATAGTTCAACATTTGTCTTTTAGAGCATCTGACGGGCCACAGACGATCACATCTGTCATACAACAGCTTTATATGTCAGATTTGCATGTAGCCTTCCTTTAATTTATGCAACCTTTATTTAAACAGGTATATCTAACTGAGATTACAAATATCTATTTACAAGAGAGACCTGGATTAAGGTCTCTACTTTGACTAGGCCACCTATGAATCTCCATTTTAAGTTTATTTTGCCTTTCAGAGTTTGACATGGTTGTATAGTTTGCATTACTGTCCTGCCCTGGGACTAAGGCAATTGTTTTAGCTTAATATCTCAAAGTGATGCTCAGAAAACCTCCTTTAAAATTTGATTTTTTTTTTAGGCAAAAATAATCTTGGTTCTAAAGAAGCCATGCAGCACCAGGCCATTACGATACCTCCACCATGTAAGTGCATAAGTAGCATGGATGACTGTTAATTATGGTCAGCAGTGGTTCTGGCCTTTGAGCCGCTCTGTGTTTGTCCACAGAGCTGGCTTCTTTTGTTATCTCTTTGATTTGTCATCCATGCACTATTGGAATAGTTTTGTTTGGCAGCCAGCTCCTGCTATAAGTTGCTCTCTCAATGTGAATTGATGGATACCTAAAATATTGTAAACTACTTTGTAATCTTCTAAATGTAAAATTATTTCTTTAATTTCTTTTGATGCTTATTTGGGATCTTTAAACAGGCTTCAAGCGGTCAGACCGGTTCTGATTAAGTGATTTCACGATCAGATAGTAACCTGGTCTGTTCACTGCTAGTGAAGATTGTGCTTAACTTTCATGCTTAACTATTTTTAATCATAGTTCATTCATATTTACAGTATTGAAATGATATATTTACACACAGCATCCAAATGGTCGGTGCACATTTTTCCATTCAAAAACTGCTTTTAATATTTCAGGTTCTCTTTAATTGATATCAAAAGTTATCTGATATCCTGAACGATTTTAGAATAAAGGACTCCGTTAGACGGTTAATACTTTTCATGGAACTGTACTGAAGAGTAGCAATGACAGTACAGCAATGTCATAATGATGAACAAGAAAAACATGTGCAGATGAATTCCCTCATCAAAACACAACCTGTCTTTGATCCATGTCGGCATTATTAGTGGTCAGTTAGGATGGTCTACAACAAGGGATGGAAACAGAACAATAGAATGAGGTAAAAATGGGGAATTAAGACAAAAACCAAAGCTGCACAAACACACTAGATCAATGCAGAATGCAGGTTTGTTTAATCCTGTCCTCAGTCACTCTGTCTCATATTCAACCTTTGAAGCTGCCTCATTAAAGCCTCCCCGTGTCTCTGTGTCTGCATGTGTCCCTGGCAGAGTGAGAAGGCGCTTTGATTTCCCTGGAGAGTTACAACCGCAGTGACAAGATGACTCTGGCAGGTAAATGCAGTCGCAGCATAAAACTCCTTTCCCCTCCCCTGCATGCTCGTTCTTTTAAGAATCAGAGATATGCTGGTTGGTGGCAGGGACTAATGGCCGTCACTGCGAAGGACCACCACATCATCATCTTTAAATGCTTGCTCAAGATCCTCTTTAATTAAGCTAAGGTCTAAATGTGTGTGTGTATATGTGTGTGTGTGTGTTTGTGTCCTCAGCCTATAAAGAGAAGGTCAAAGAGCTCCCCCTGGTGTCTCTGTTCTGCTCCTGCCTGAACCCACAGACTGCAGATAACACCACATATAAAGCAGAAGGTACAACTCATTTGTTTACCTCTAATCAACACAGAATTTACATTTACACTTGAAAATAACAACTAAACTAATGTTTATTTCATTTATTCTAACCTGATGTGATGAAATAATCAAAGATGCGGTGGACCTGGGCTGGTGCGTCATGAAAGATGTGGAGGTGATCGAGCTGAACAAGCGGACATCCGGCCAGGCCTTTGAGGTCATCCTCAAGCCTCCGTCCTTTGATGGCCTGCCAGAACTCAACACCTCCATGCCGCAGCGCCGCGACCCATCCCTGGAGGAGATCCAGAAGAAGCTGGAGGCTGCTGAGGAGAGACGAAAGGTGAGGAGCATCATATCAAACCTGTCGGGGACGGCTCTCCTCAATAACCTGCAATTAGAAAATGTCTGTTTTGCCTTTTAGCACAAATAAGGGTTACAAAGTATTTGTCCTAATTCCCAGTTTCTCTCTATGGTTCTGAAAGGTCAACCTTATTTAAAATGTTATTAATGTGCATTTAAATGTTAAATATTTTTTTTCAAGCTTGTACAAAAGCTGAACAATTTTTTTCAATTTATATTGATTTTCCTTTTCACTAACCACAACTATGTCGATGTTTCACTCCAGTATTTCATTGTTTTCATGACCTTGAAAGCCTGTTTGACCAGAGTCCATTGAACTGGCACTTTACAGTTACTGATGAGTGGAAAAACTGATTATTTCTCTTTACATGCATGGATCTGTCAATCAGCAGACAAAGACAACCTTCTCATGTTTTTTATTTATTTTTTTACCTTAACTTTAGTGCTTTCATCATTTTATTTTTATTTTTAACTTCTTTTCATAGCACTTTGAGATAGACTGATCATTTGAGGGGATCTACAAATATACTTTAGTATTTTCAATGTTACTTTTCAAGTAATTATCATTCTTACCTCCATCTCTATTTCTTTGAACCTGCTTTGTCTTTTATGGCCAATCTCTCAAACTGCCTGTAGAAACTACAGTCTGCACATTTTAATGGGAAGAACCTAATCGGTTGGCAGATCTTAACATTGGCCCAGCTGTCTATGTAGACAGCTTTTTTGACTGTCTGAAAACCAAGATTTTCCAGCACAGAAGAAGCCTCCACTAATATAAACCATTGGTGTGGCTGCACTTTGAGTACCTAACAGAATAAATACATTTAAACAGAACTTTTTTAAAAGATGTGAATGAGAAATAGGTAACACCTTTGTTCATAGTTTTTTTTTTAGAACCAATTTAGCACTTTACGTCCCACCGGTCTCACGGTGAGGATCGTGAGCTACATTGTACACTGCAAAAAATGTAAATCTAAATAAGTCATTTTTTCTTAAAATAAGTACATTTTTTTCTTGAATTGAGGAAGTAAATGAGACACTTTGCCAAAGGAACAAGACAGTTTACATTTAAAATATGAAAAATCAATCGCATTGTCTTATTTCAAGTGCATATTATCTAATTATCTTAATTTAACTGTAAAAATACTCAAACTGTAAACTGTCTTATTTACCTGCTCAAATTAAGGGTAAATACACTTGATTTAAGACATTTTCACTTAATTTCAGATTGTTTTTGCAGTGTAGTTACAGCTGCCCTGAGGGCCGCGGACAGAAATGAGGCTGCTGTATACAGGCATGACCGGGCCCTCTGACCACCATCAATAGGCAATCAATGCAGAGGGAAGCATTTTCCCCAAGGACACAATGACTGAGAGGGATGGAGCTCGAGTTTAACCCAGTGACCCTCCGGCTGCAGGACGGACTCCTGCATCCTACGCCACTGTGGCGCTAGTTAAATCTTCTGCACTTCATGGCCCAACAAAAACACCAGACGTCATTGAGACGTTGTTTTTTAGGCTAAATCTGGTCGGTCCTTCATAGTCCAAAAATCTTTTTTTGAAAATGTGTTTGGTCGGTCTGATTTTGTTCCACTTTAGTCCAAAAACAGACATTGAAAAGACAAAGTAAACCAAGTCTTTTCAACAATCAGAAAATAATGACTTTTCACTTTTCAACCACATGTAGACATTATTTGGACATAAATCCTATCATCTTTACAATGTTTTTTGAAGCAATCATTGCTCATTAGGCCCTGTCTCATATTAATTCCTTGGTCAGCACCCCCGTTAAAAACTAGACCAACGTGACAAGGGGTCTTTGTTCTGTCTCCTCATCGATTTATGGGTCCCAGACAAAATAACATTGAAGACCCATGATCTGAACTATTCTACAATGATAAATCACTCCTTAAAACATTGTGATTTTTGATTGCTTTACTTGTTAAACATTTGGGCCTTGCTGTTTTCTTTAAAACACGCATCATGAGCCAGTTAGATCATTTCCACCCCCCTTATTTCTGCGTTAGTGCTCATTTAGAACAGGAAGCTCATTGTAACAGATGGCAAAATACCTTGGATTTTGTGATAAATACTTCAGTTTATTCATATAGAGCCAATTCACATTTCATCTAAAAGTATTTAATAGAGAAAATTTAGTTAAATCCTGCAGAAAGAACCATATAATGAAAACATTGTGGCGGTTTTAAAGTTCGTCTGCGGTGAAGACATAAGTTATATATTGCTTATATTGCTTAAGCCAAAAGTTGTTTTGGCTAAGCTCTGATTTTAGTGTTGGCTCTGAGTTATTATATGTTAGAAAGTTGGGCTGCAAGATGTCTTTGTTCAAAGGGGGAAAATATTGTCCATCAACAGAATCATTTGGCTTTTAAGTCACTTCAGTAAAGTACAAAAAAAAAAAAAACCTACAATTTTAAAACCCCAAAAGCAGAATCATCACAGGTTAAATGGGCTTTTCTGTAAAGTGCTCTTCCTCCCCCTAGTGCCAGGAGGCTGAGCTGCTGAAGCACTTGGCAGAGAAGAGAGAACATGAGCGTGAGGTCATCCAGAAGGCCTTTGAGGAGAACAACAACTTCATCAAGAACGCAAAGGAGAAGCTGGAGCAGAAGATGGAGGCGAACAAGGAGAACAGGGAGGCCCTTCTGGCGGCCATGCTGGAGAGGCTGCAGGAGAAGGTATGACCCAGCTGCTCAATATAGGGTCTGTTTATGAAAAATGCTTCCAAACCAAACCTCTAACTTCCTAGCTCATGAAAGAAAGGAAAGAGGCCAGTTCTAAGATGTCAGTGGTAGGTTAATAGTTTGATTTTGATTAATCTTGGTAGATTAATCAAAATCAAAGGGAGGGAAAGAAGATTACAGCAGGGTCAGATGAATCAAGAGCTTTGAATATTTCTTTACAGCCTGGAGACAGTTGCTGTTTACGTTTCATCCACTTTACAAGTTCCTTCATCTGGATCATTTTTCCATTTTCTGTCCAGTTTATGATTAAATATTTATGCAGACATTTTACTTCACATATTTTCCTCTGATTGCTCTCCAGCGGTCGCTGCTCAGCCTTGAGTTTCTGAGAAAAAAACAGTTTCAATATTTCTTACTTTAATTTGTTCTCTCGCTTTTCATCATTTTGCTGCAATTGATGCCAGCACACTAAATCTGAGAGAAGCTTATCTTGATCTATAGCACGTGATAGAGCTTTCATATGTCATTGTTTCTGGATCTAATAAACAAATCCAACTCATCACATAAAGCATGCCGGTGTGGAAAAAGGCCTCTTCTATTCAAGCCTGTTTGCTAAATAAGATGTTTTTATGATTAAAAAGGACAACATCAGAGAAATACCCATATTTATGTCAAGAGGCATTCAGCATCTGCTAACCAAGAAAAACCTCTAACACCCACAACCGTGTCGTGTAGAGAGCAGTGGGAAAGTGCTGAGCTGGCCTAAATGAGTAAGCAGTTGTGACATATCTAGCAGCCGCAGCTCTGGTTAAACATGGACTGCATCTCAGAACCCTGGGCTGCTGGAGTTGGCCTTTTCCCTTGTTTTCTGTCTATAGTCTTGTGGTGGGACGTTTGACAAGAAGCGATCAAAATGAGCGAGACGTGAACGGCGATAACATTTCAGCAAAACTGCTGACAGTTTGCTTTCAGCCTGCAGAATTTTTATGCTTTGCAGCATGATCTAAATGTTAGGACATCCTCGGGCCTCAGGCAATGAGCTGTCATGTCTTAGAAGAAAAAAAAAATTCTCAGGTCTTTGGAATAAACTTATCAGGTCATAGGTCTCAGGAAGCGACGGAGCACTTTTAAAAAATGTTGTCAAATCTTAACCAAACAAGCAATGATTTGTTTGAGCCAGAGTGGATTGGTTGAAATCAGGCAATGACGCTGGCAAAAAAAAAAAATTTGATTAAATGTGTACATATGGGCGTGCAGGTGGTGCAGTGGTTAGCGTGCATGACCCATGAATGGAGGCCTTAGTCCTCGATGCGGCCGACCCGGGTTTGAATCCAGTCTTTTGTCCTTTGCTGCATGTCTCTCCCCCTCTCTCATTCCCCTTTCTTGTCAGCCTACTGTCAGAAAAACGGGCCACTACCTGTAGTGCTGTAAAAACTCAAACAAACATGTATATATTATTCTTTCTGTGACTCAAAATAAACTCTGACAATGTTTTTAGGTGAGAATGTAGCTTAGTCAAAATCAATTATCTGCCTGGTTGGTCAAGATTTCGCTCCATTTTAAAAAACTTAATTTCTAACACCTGATAATTTTTCCTATGACCTAATAACTTATGACCTGGAGACGTCCTTACACTTACACCTTACAGAAACTCAAAATGTCTGTAGAACTAAAGTCTGTTGCATGTATTTTTATTTATTCCCCAAACAGAGAATTTACTACTCTAACATATAAATGGGATATTGTTGCAGCTCTTAATGAGTGTTTTCAGTTGTTCTGATGAAAAGCAAACCTCTGCTGGAGTCTCTGGTCTTTCTTTTCCTCTAGAATTTCTGGTATTTAGCTTCATATTCCATCCAATCTTCCACCAGCTTCCCTCCCTCTGCTAAAGAAAACAATCCCCACAGCAGGATGCTTCAACCACCTTGTTTCAGAGTGGGGATCTGAGCTCAGGTTTATGTGTGTTAGGTTTTTGTTTTCTTCCATGTGTTTCTTCTAACCTCTGTCTGACTTTAAAGACTGAAAACCCAGTCAACAACGGCTCTGTAGATTGAGTGACTAATAGTATTGCAGACAGATTCACCCATCGGAGCTGTGGATCATAAGGCTCTTCTTGCTCAGACTGTTGGTTCACATGAACCACACTGTCTCAGTAACATTTCCAGTGTTTCCTTAGTCCTTCCGCTTTCAGACGACCTGTGAGATCTTTAAAGCTTTGGATGAAGTTTCATAAAGTTGTTTTCAAACATTGTTTTCATGACTCTCCATCCTGCATGTATTAGGTATTCCCCTGCCTCCACACATCTTACTTTAATGAATATGTGATGAACAGGCCTCTGCAGTCGTTGTTGCCTTCTGAGGAGGGTCTGCAATCATTTGAAGCAGATGTGCAGGAGAGAAAAACACCTACAAGGTGCAGAACATTGGATCCAGACGGAAGAAACTCACTAGTTTATTGACCTAAACTTACTGAAAGTGGGAAGATGCCAAAATGGCCTACATACAAAAAAAAACTAAAATAAAAGCTCACGTAATAGGGGGTTTTCAGTGACGTCACTGGCCAGCTCCCGGTCCGCCATCTTGGGTGGCATATTATCGTATATCATATATATCATGTCGCGAATAGATAAGTACGCCAGCACGCTAGAGCCACCAGATCATGGAACATATCTGAGGAAATGTTCCGTGATCGATCATATGGACCCCTATGCCCTCCACGGTGCCTTGTTTAGCACTAATCCAGATGATTGGCCAAATGTAGAGCACGGTAACATAGTTCATTACCCGGTGTTCAGTGAAAACCCTCTGCACACTCTGGAGGAAATGAGAGCGTACAAGGGTCTAGAGGCTCACAACCAGTTCACATCTGGTTGGGTACGAGATGTCGAAGTGATGTACATGAAGGAAATCGCCATCATACGTGGACGGGTGAGTTTTAATAAGATGGTAAAAATGTAAACAATCCGACGCAGGGCTCGCTATGCTAGGTGGCTAACGGCCGGCGGTGCGCGAACAGTTCCAAAGCTACAAGTCCTTGGAGTCTCATGTGCAGTTTACGAATGGATGGGTTCAGGAGCTGCAGCTCATAAAGCCAGCAAACAGTGCTAACCGTTAGTGCTAACAACCACTCAGGCATGTAATGTACTTTTAACTAGCTGCTATGTGTTTCAAAGGTTTGGTTAGTAACGTTAACTGCCAAACCTCCCTAAACCCTCCGGGTTTCTCACATATTTGAGCCTTTTCCCGCTGGTTGAAATCAAGTTAAGGTGAAATTAATCAAATTAAAACACAGCTGAGAGAGGGAGTCCAGTACGCGGTGGTCATAGGCAGTAGTCTGAGTAGCGCCGGCGGAGACAGTCAACATTGCGGCCACGGAAAGTAATACGTCATGACGCCCAAGCCCTATTATTAATATATTCTTACATGTTTTAAATGCTTGACAGTTAATTACCTGTGACAAAGTGAGCACTGCAGACTCTGGCGTGTTCCAGCTTAACACCGTCCAAATCGGACCTGGATATCCGTGTCAGCCATAGGTGACGGCGTTGTTCAGATAGCCGTTTTGTTTTTTCACATTGATTCACGATTACGGCTGGTATGCGATAGAAAGAGCGTTGATCTCCACCTCCACGGGCCGTGCAACCAACAATTACACACGATTTCACCATTTTTCACTGTCAATACTGCCTAAGGCTGCCACCCAATATGGCGGACGCGCTGAGTAGTCACGTGAGCGCGACGTCACATGAAAACCCCCTATTCTGAGCCAGTGGTGTCAAAAGTTCACACATTTGTTACTTAAGTAGAATTATAGATACTGCAGTTTAAAAACACTCTGGTAAAAGTTGAAGTATCAACTTGACCTCTTTACTCAAAAGTGAAAAAGTATGTGCTCCAAAAACTACTTATTTTTCTTCCTACTTCCTACTTCCACTCATTACATTTTCACAACACTCAAAAGTGAAAAAGTATGTGCTCCAAAAACTACTTCAAGTATAAAAGTATATAGTAACCTTAAACAAAAAAAACAGCCAGATCCCACTATATGAACTGGAAGCTTAATTTTTCAACTATTTCTAAAAACTCTTTGAGATAGGGACAAGGATGAGGGAGGTCTTGTTGGTCTCCATCTCCCGATACGCTCTCCCCTGTGTCCGACCTTTGAGACATTTCAACATCTTTTTCTGAATCCATCATTGTAGCATGGCATAGACAATTCATGTTTGCAGTTTGAAGAACCCCTGCTTGTTTCTGATGATTTCCTTTAGCTAACCAATGAGTGTTTGCGTTATATGACTCATCCAAGTACACTAGTTTTCACTAGATGTGGATGGCGCCAATGATCTGCATTGGATGGTGCACATGACCTGAAAGAAATATTTATAAACATTAAACCAAAGCCAAGAGTAACAAGTAACGTTTGTTTTAAAAATGCAAGGAATAGAAAGTACAGATACTTGTGTGAAAATGTAATGAGTAGAAGTAGGAAGTAGGAAGAAAAATAAGTAATGAAATATAAATACCTAAAAAGTGTACTTAAGTACAGTAACGAAGCATGTATACTTTGTTATTTGACACCTCTGACACCCCACTCTGAAACAAGGTGGTTGAAGTATCATGCTGTGGGGATGATTTTCTTTAGCAGAGGGAGGGAAGCTGGTGGAAGACTGGATGGAATATGAAGCTAAATACAAGAAATTTTAGAGGAAAAGCTGCAAAAAAAAAAAAACAGAGACTACAGCAGAGGTTTGCCTTTCATCAACTTAAAAAAAACACTCATTAAGAGCTGCAGAAAAATCATATTCACATGTTTGAGTAGTAAATTCTCTGTCCGGAGAATAAATAAAAATACATGCAACACACTGCAGATATTTATTTTTAAACCTGTGTATAAATATTTTAGATATCTCATCAAAAACAATGAAATCCACTGTAGTTCTACAGACATTTCAGATTCTGCAATAAGGTGTACGTTTAATGACATCTCCAGGTCTCCAGGCATTACCATGTTCTCCCTGACCTGCCTGCTGTTCTCCTCCGCCTTCATGTTTGTTATTGTTCTCTACCAAACCTCTGATTTGTATTTGGAATAAATCACCTACAGGTGGAGCCTGTTTACTAAGCAGATGATTGGTTGTACAGGATTTAATGTTTTTTGGAATCAGAATAAAGCGACGATAATAAAAATGAACACATGAGGTTTTACTATGGAGCTCACTTTAGAGAGCAGCAGGTTGCTTTAGATTTTATTTAGGGTATCACCATAAAGGGGATTGACATGCATGTAAGAATCACGTTTTGAGATGTTCTTTTTGTCAAACCTTTAGAAAATCTTGTTATATGTTTCTTCTGTTTCTCAGAAAAGCCCAGTAACGTGCTTAAAGCTTGTGGTTGTGGTGTGATCAAATGTGACAAACCTGGCATAAATGCTGATGAATCATTTCCCCAGAGTAAATACAGGCAAAAACACACTTTCCATTTGTTTTTTATATCCTTCAGAGGCCTGATCCATATTCATCAAAGTTAGATGAGGTCAAAAAAAAGACTTTCATGCCCATCTGACTCATTACTGCCAAGGAATTCATGAATATTGATTACTCTGGTGTTTCCCCTCTCTCTGTGCCTGTGTATGTCTGGCAGGATAAACATGCAGAGGAAGTGAGGAAGAACAAGGAGATGAAGGAGGAGGCGTGCCGATAGATGCAACGGAGCCAGAAGAAGGGACAAAAATAAAGGGAATCCGACAAACAGACATAAAAAAGGACATAACAGCGACTTGAATGAGCTTCAGAGAAAAGCTTTTACATTGGATGTGTGCTGTCAGACCTCCTGTGCTGTACAAAGTTTAATGATGCTTGATGTATAAGGGGAACTGGTTTAGGGGAACTGGTGGGGTGGGCGGCTACATCAACACAAACAAGTATTCAACATCCATGATTTCTTCTTTATTGCAGAATGAAAGCAAAATCACTTCTTTCTTCTTTATTGTTTCTATCAGAAAGCAGAAAATTAAAATTGCCTGAGTTAAATTTTTACCAGCGAGTGAATTTTGCCTCATCACCGACTGTTAGCTTGGCAGCAACACAGAGAGAAAGACGTAGAAAGTTTTTGATAAGTCTACAACTCTGAATCAAACGCAATGATTTGAACTTGTATTTCGGTTAAAATGAGTTTTACAGGTTTTACAAACTGGAACCAAGAGCTGGGCCACAACAGGAAAAAAAAAAAAAGCTTCTTCTTGTTTAGACTCACCAATTCAAAGCTTTCAAATAAAAGTTTTCTCTTTATCCAACTTATAAGGACTAAGCAGTAAAGCTAAAACCTCTGCTGCATTCCTCCATCTTTGCTGTAGTATTAGACGTTCCTTTGAGTCTTTTTGATTGGAGCACTAATTGCACTCGTCTGTCATGAAGCACAACTCAAAAGCACATATGCATTCCAGAGTTATCATAAAGAGTAAAATAAAAAATAAACAGCAGTCATCCTCAGTTGGTGATTTAGTTACAACTTCATGGGTTTAATGGTTAATCTGCAGGCTCTGCTCAGCCTGTGTCGCTCTGCTCGCAATGTTTCTTTATCATTTTGAAGGGAACTGGAACTGAAAAATAATCTGCCCAAACGTTCCAGTCATACTGACTACATCCTGGCTTGACTTAAAACATCTTAATGTTTATACTCTAACTGGGGAGGAAACAGGGAGTTTGGACTTGCTGTAACTGTGTGTTGCTGTGTATCAAAGGGTGGACTGGTTGTATTCATTTGGCATGATTAGTAAAGACAAATAGCTTAATTCAATTCATGGTTTGGTCTATTTATTTCCCTTTCAACTATAATTTTCTAACCAATTAGTTTCGGCTTATTAAACTAAAGACAAAAATTTGATTTCTCATAGTTTTTTTTTTGCAAAAAACCTGAACATAAATCAAACATAAGCTCAGTTGACTGAATTAATCTTTAATTTCCGATTGCATGGCGGAAAAAAAAGGTACGTAGACAGAAAAGCAACAAATAGCAGGAATTAATCAGTCGCTGCATAACTCTTTTTCCAAAAAATATATTTTAATCAAATACAGCTGCAAATAAGTTTTTATCCCTTGTATAAAACAAACAATCTGTTCTGATATAGTCAATAAGAGAGGAATTTCAAAGAAATAAAACAAAACAGAAAGCAGTAACATCACTAAAATGGTAAACATATACACTGTCATATACAGGTGCTGGTCATAAAATTAGAATATCATGAAAAAGTAGATTGATTTCAGTAATTCCATTTAAAAAGTGAAACTTGTATATTATATTCATACATTACATACAAACTCATATATTTCAGATGTTTATTTTGTTTAATTTTGATGATTACAAATGACAACAAATGAAAATCTCAAATTCATCATATCAGAAAATTAGAATATTGTGAAAAGGTTCAAAATTGATGGCCCTTGGTGCCACACTCTAATCAGCTAATTAACTCAAACCACCTGCAAAAGCCTTTAAATGGTCTTTCAGTCTAGTTCTATAGGCTACACAATCATGGGGAAGACTGCTGACTTGACAGTTGTCCAAAAGACGACCATCGACACCTTGCACAAGGAGGGCAAGACACAAAAGGTCATCGCTAAAGAGGCTGGCTGTTCACAGAGCTCAGTGTCCAAGCACATTAATAGAGAGGCGAAGGGAAGGAAAAGATGTGGTCGAAAAAAGTGTACAAGCAAGAGAGATAACCGCACCCTGGAGAGGATTGTGAAACAAAACCCATTCAAAAATGTGGGGGAGATTCACAAAGAGTGGACTGCAGCTGGAGTGAGTGCTTCAAGAACCACCACACACAGACGTATGAAAGACATGGGTTTCTGCTGTCGCATTCCTTGTGTCAAGCCACTCTTGAACCACAGACAGCGTCAGAAGCGTCTTGCCTGGGCTAAAGAGAAACAGGACTGGACTGCTGGTGAGTGGTCCAAAGTCATGTTCTCTGATGAAAGTAAATTTTGCATTTCCTTTGGAAATCAAGGTCCCAGAGTCTGGAGGAAAAGAAGAGAGGCACTTCATCCACGTTGCTTGAAGTCCAGTGTAAAGTTTCCACAGTCAGTGATGGTTTGGGGTGCCATGTCATCTGCTGGTGTTGGTCCATTGTGTTTTCTGAGGTCCAGGGTCAACGCAGCCACATAACAGGAAGTTTTAGAGCACTTCATGCTTCCTGCAGCTGACCAACTTTTTGGAGATGCAGATTTCATTTTCCAACAGGACTTGGCACCTGCACACAGTGCCAAAGCTACCAGTACCTGGTTGAAGGACCATGGTATCCCTGTTCTTAATTGGCCAGCAAACTCTCCTGACCTTAACCCCATAGAAAATCTATGGGGTATTGTGAAGAAGAAGATGCAATACACCAGACCCAACAATTCAGAAGAGCTAAAAGCCACTATTAGAGCAACCTGGGCTATCGTAACACCTGAGCAGTGCCACAGACTGATCGACTCCATGCCACGCCGCATTGCTGCAGTAATACAGGCCAAAGGAGGCCCAACTAAATACTGAGTGCTGTACATGCTCATACTTTTCATGTTCATACTTTTCAGTTGGCCAACATTTCTATAAATCCTTTGTTTTTATTGGTCTTCAGTAATATTCTAATTTTCTGATATGATGAATTTGAGATTTTCATTTGTTGTCATTTGTAATCATCAAAATTAAACAAAATAAACATCTGAAATATATGAGTTTGTATGTAATGTATGAATATAATATACAAGTTTCACTTTTTAAATGGAATTACTGAAATCAATCTACTTTTTCATGATATTCTAATTTTATGACCAGCACCTGTATGCATATGTACTGACAAACCTGACGTGTATAGAAACAGTTTTTAACTGATAAGTTAAGTATGAAAAACAATACTGAACATAGAACAAAGAATTGCAACAATTAGGCAGATATAAAAATATATTTTGAGCTTTTAGTTCATAAAACACAATCAGGAGAAAAGCATTGGAAGGAGAATAAGTGAATAAGTGCAGTGATTTCTAATAGAGCTAAATACTGTGCTGGGCCACTCTGTTCATCCAGACATCAAACATCCCCATAATGTTAACACGGCTCTAAAATTCAACTTTGGTTACATAAAATCAGACATTTTTATCAGAAGCTGACTTTATAGATATTAGCTAAAAGTACAAAAGAAAAAAACACTTCTTAACTGAAGATCTGATCTAAATAAAGTGGTATGTGATATTTACACATAGTGAATATTCCATCCAAATGGTATCAGGTGGTTAATTACCACTAAACGTATAAGAAAGGAAGACCATGTTGGTTCACATTTACCAAAAAATGAAAACTAGAATGAACTGGGAAAATAAATACATAAACCCACCAAGGCAAAGAAACCCAAACAGAAAAAGCAAAAATAATACAGCCAAAAAAATAACATTTCTGTAAATGTTTTTTGCTGATTTTTACACAGCTTTAATTTGTTCTTCAGAATGAATGGATTTGCTGTAACTTTTTTAGGATGTACCTCCACTGAGGAGGTTATGTTTTTAGGAGAGTTTGTCTTTCTGTATACAGGATAATTGGAAAAATTATAAACGGGTTATAGTAACATTTCTACCAAAGGTTCGCCTCAGTCCAAGGAACAACCCGTTATATGTTGATGATGGAACTTTTTGAAGGATCCTGTCAATACAGGTATTAACTTAATGTGTCATTATGTGTAGAGGAAAATGAGCTACTTGGTGAAGGTCTGCTCTCTCCAGGTGTTTTTCTAGTTTATCTTAAGATCAAGAGCGACAAACAATTACAACATCAGACGCGCATCTAAAAGATGACATGGAGGAAATTATCGAATCGGCAAAGCTGTCCTGTTCTGCTAATACAGGTGCTGGTCATAAAATTAGAATATCATGAAAAAGTAGATTGATTTCAGTAATTCCATTTAAAAAGTGAAACTTGTATATTATATTAATACATTACATACAAACTCATATATTTCAGATGTTTATTTTGTTTAATTTTGATGATTACAAATGACAACAAATGAAAATCTCAAATTCATCATATCAGAAAATTAGAATATTACTGAAGACCAATAAAAACAAAGGATTTATAGAAATGTTGGCCAACTGAAAAGTATGAACATGAAAAGTATGAGCATGTACAGCACTCAGTATTTAGTTGGGCCTCCTTTGGCCTGTATTACTGCAGCAATGCGGCGTGGCATGGAGTCGATCAGTCTGTGGCACTGCTCAGGTGTTATGATAGCCCAGGTTGCTCTAATAGTGGCTTTTAGCTCTTCTGAATTGTTGGGTCTGGTGTATTGCATCTTCTTCTTCACAATACCCCATAGATTTTCTATGGGGTTAAGGTCAGGAGAGTTTGCTGGCCAATTAAGAACAGGGATACCATGGTCCTTCAACCAGGTACTGGTAGCTTTGGCACTGTGTGCAGGTGCCAAGTCCTGTTGGAAAATGAAATCTGCATCTCCAAAAAGTTGGTCAGCTGCAGGAAGCATGAAGTGCTCTAAAACTTCCTGGTATGTGGCTGCGTTGACCCTGGACCTCAGAAAACACAATGGACCAACACCAGCAGATGACATGGCACCCCAAACCATCACTGACTGTGGAAACTTTACACTGGACTTCAAGCAACGTGGATGAAGTGCCTCTCTTCTTTTCCTCCAGACTCTGGGACCTTGATTTCCAAAGGAAATGCAAAATTTACTTTCATCAGAGAACATGACTTTGGACCACTCACCAGCAGTCCAGTCCTGTTTCTCTTTAGCCCAGGCAAGACGCTTCTGACGCTGTCTGTGGTTCAAGAGTGGCTTGACACAAGGAATGCGACAGCAGAAACCCATGTCTTTCATACGTCTGTGTGTGGTGGTTCTTGAAGCACTCCCTCCAGCTGCAGTCCACTCTTTGTGAATCTCCCCCACATTTTTGAATGGGTTTTGTTTCACAATCCTCTCCAGGGTGCGGTTATCTCTCTTGCTTGTACACTTTTTTCCACCACATCTTTTCCTTCCCTTCGCCTCTCTATTAATGTGCTTGGACACTGAGCTCTGTGAACAGCCAGCCTCTTTAGCGATGACCTTTTGTGTCTTGCCCTCCTTGTGCAAGGTGTCGATGGTCGTCTTTTGGACAACTGTCAAGTCAGCAGTCTTCCCCATGATTGTGTAGCCTATAGAACTAGACTGAAAGACCATTTAAAGGCTTTTGCAGGTGGTTTGAGTTAATTAGCTGATTAGAGTGTGGCACCAGGGGCCATCAATTTTGAACCTTTTCACAATATTCTAATTTTCTGATATGATGAATTTGAGATTTTCATTTGTTGTCATTTGTAATCATCAAAATTAAACAAAATAAACATCTGAAATATATGAGTTTGTATGTAATGTATGAATATAATATACAAGTTTCACTTTTTAAATGGAATTACTGAAATCAATCTACTTTTTCATGATATTCTAATTTTATGACCAGCACCTGTATCTGCATGAGGTGTCTCATATCAATGTTAAAGGCAGTTCAGACAACCATGGAGCTCGTCTTTAAGGGTGTAGAGCTTTAATCTTGCCTGTCAGCTACATTTTTACCATATTTTGTGTTTTACAAGCATACCAGAATCGATCTTGTCCCATTTTGACCTTCTTCTTCCAATCAGCTCAAAGTTCTGCTAAATGTCCTTCTCTTCCTAAAACTGATTTGATGGGAGGAGGTCCTGACTGAGAAACCTAGAGGGCACATATTGAATCGAACCTACCAGGTTCTCTTTATATACAATAAACATACGCTTCTTACTTGATATATTTTATATCTGTCCAAAACCCCATTTCAACAGAAGATCCTTTAAAGCAAGCCTGGTTTGCTGCTTGATCTGAAAAAAGACAATCAGTTGCTAATGTTTGTATCACACTAACGTGTATCTGCTTTTTCTGCCAAATGACATACAAGTCACATATATGTGGCAGTGTAAATTATTTAGTATTTCGGATATTTATAAAAACTTTATCTCATGCAATGCTATGTAGATGCCCAGTCTGCACTAATGAAGATTCGCTCACCTTGGCAGGCTGAATCTTTTAAGCTGCTCCAGCAGCACAGCAGCATGACCTGTTTTCTAAATAATTCAGATAATAACTATTGGACCTTTTGGGAGTACTCAGACTGTGTTTTAAACTTGTCCAGTTGGTCAGGAGATTTTTAGGGGTGAAAAAAAAAGAGACAGTATGGGAAAAGAAGAGTTGAGCCCTGTTAATATAAAACCTGTCATCAAAATACAAGCAGGGGATTTATCATAGGAGACATATTACTTAATAAAACAGGGAGATCTTTCTGAATTTTTGTTTCATATCTTAACAATGAATTCCCTAAAAAATCATATCTACATCAGAATACATGGCATGAAGCGACATTTGTAAAAATCAGCAATGGACTTAAAAAACATGTTTTTGCATATATTTGGGCACTAAGAGCAATCTAACAAGTTTAAAACAAGAGAAAGTTCTGATGGAACACAATAAAATGTCATCATATATAATCATAATTCATCTCTCTTAGCTTAACCTGCTAAAATCTCACAATAAGGACAACAGACCTCTGGTTATAATTAAGCTTGTGAATCCTAATAAAGTGGCTTACATGAAGATATTAAGGACACCAAGTGTGTTGGAAAGTGAAAAACACAAGTCACAGTTGTCAAAAATAATCTTATTTTATCTACAGCAATAAATACAGTTGAAAGCAGATACAGTATCTGTTCTCTCCTGTATCTGTGTCAACCAAACCAAACAGACAGTAGATGATATGGTCGATACGTGTCACCAGAGCATCTGCTGGACGTGTTGTTACTCCTGTGGTATCACATTGGGTCTCACGCAAGTACAGCCGACCGTGATCTCTTCCGTCCCCAGCTTAAAGACATACTTCTTCTTTGCCTTCTTCCCTGGTTTCTTGTTCTTTTTTTCCTTCAGGGTTCTGCAGAGGGATGGTAAAAACATAGAAAGTTTGCTTCTTTTAATGTCTGGTAAGAAATAAAGTTGTTGAGTTTAAGGTCTCTGCCTCCAAACAACTTTGCAGCAAATAAGGTCAAACCATAAGGTCAAATGTAGAGTCTGTAAGGTCCACCTCCGTCTTAAGGCTTAGTCTAACTGATTTACATTACCGCTTTAATTTAAAAAGTTAAAAACTTCACAAACTATATAAAAATGTTGAAAAGCTCATTTAAAATTTTTAAAAAGCAAAAACCCAAGTTTCTGTGTTATGCTTCAACAAAACAAACCGAATCTTAAAAACCCATTGTTTCCTCTGTCTTTAGATTATAAATTATACAAAAAGCAATCTTAGCCTAAGAGCGCTCACAGACCGCTGGATGCTGTTTAGATTCTGCTAACGCAATGTCATTAGAAAACTGTTTTCAAAATAACTTTTAAACATAGGAGCTATTTATAGGAACCAAACCCTTAAAAATACAGCGAGTTCACAGCTAATCTCAGTACTAAGTTTAGACTGGGATGATATTTGTGAAATTAAACACAAAGACAGAGAACAACAGAAGGTTTTCCATGCCTTAAATGTTTTAAAAGGTGGCTAACAGCATTTGGGTGTTCCCTGTAATCATGTTGGTTTTCAGCTCAGCTTACTTTCACTGAGGATGTTATTTTAAAACAACCCTAACATCTGATTCGACTTACTTTTTAAACAAGTGTCTATTCTTCACAGATGTTCCCAGCTCTCATGCTCTACCCTGCTCACTGTTTTTTGTTTTGTTTTGTTTTGTTTTGTACACAAGCAGATCTAAAAACTAAACTAGAGGCTGAGCATAGAAAAAAAAGCTTTCCAGCGCAGAGGCTCACCTGTACAGAACCAGGACCTGATATTTGATGGGTTTGGCCTCCAGAGATAAATCCTCCTCTCCCCTGTAAAGGTTCAGACAGCCGGACGTGCTGCAGTTGGCTTGTAAGATCCTCTCCGGGAAACGGTGCGGGTTTACAGAGTCTCTGTATGGAGAGGGAGTCAATCAGGATATATAGAGTGAGAACTGTTCAATTTGGAAACTAGAGATGTGGAACCAATAACCCTTAATTAAAGGAAGCCTTGACTTAACAACTAGTGTTGCACCGATCCAGATACCAGTATCGGGCGTGGCTCCGATCCAGCACTAAAATGGTGCTATTGGTATCAACGAGTACCAACAAATAGGCCAACAAAAGTTTTTTTAACTATTGTCATCCATTCCAGGTAGGCAATAAAAAGTTCTACTGGATTCACTTTGTATTAGTCTTTTTCCTGCTTCACAAAGGTAGGCAGCAGCTTCACAAAGCCATGATGGCAATTATTTTACATCCAAGTAGTATGCAGTTCTTCATATGCACACACACATCAACTTCAAACAGATGGTATCAGTATGGTATCGGCTGATACTGCACAGCCAAGTATCGGGTATCGGGGCCAAAAAATGGCATCAGCGCAACACTTCTTAAAACAGCAACTGGCTGAAAATCTGCAACAAGTCTGTAGCTGCTGACAGCAGGCTAGCAACCTGAGCAGATAACGCAAATAATTAACCAGAATGGAAGTCTTAAAATGACCATGTGTCCATTTGGACCCTTTCAGTGGGAAGTTTTATACCCGATTTGACAACTGACTGTTTAAATAAATTCTCATACCAGTAAGGAAACGTCCTTAAATGACAAAGAGTGCCAAACATGTTTGGATGATATTATATAATAAATAAATACAATTATTTGCGATAAGAATTTTTGAGTCATTTATCTCCATAATCAGTTCCAACATCTAAATCCAATGAAAGACATACAATGGTGTTTTTTATGAGTGAAATGGATGGAGTAAGGGACAAATATATTCGTTAAATAAACATTCAAAGAGGTGATTTTACCAGAAACTATTGTCAGAGTAACTTCTGTCAATATATATTTGACAAAAAATGAGTGGTTGATTACAAAGCTAGGGTTTTATGGTTTAGGGTCTCTGCGTGAAAAATTTGCAATAAAGTAATCTGACTCAAAAACTAAGCAAGCAGCTCGTTTAATTTCAGATGTGGAAAAACCCCATGAGTGTTTCTTTCCTAATCCATTTAATGTGTGCAAGATGCTTCTTACTTCAAGGACATCGTTAAAATTCCTTTTGACTGCGGTGGGGGTGTTTTCGTGGTTGAGTTACAACCAGAAAAGCTCTAAAACAGATAAAAAGCACTGTTCATCTGTCAGCATGTATAAAGCATCTAAATGGGCTGAAAAATCAAACCTAAACTGCTTATTTTAGCGGTTCTGGTTTGAATGGTTGCAACCAAAAACGTCCAGGTCATTTTTTTCAGAACCTTTGAAACTCACTTATTTGTAAAGATTTTTTCTCTGTTTTTTTTTTAAGATTGGAAGGAAATAAAACTTCTAAAACCAACAGGAATTTGTTTTTTTAGAAGTTATAGATATCAACTCCTGCTTGCACCGTTTCTTCAACCCAGACGGTCTGAGGAAATACTTCATCTACGGAGGGGAAATAACCTCAACAATGCAGCATGTCCTCCAACAGATGTGGATCCTCTGCAATGGGATAGTTCATTTATAATCACAGGCCATCGATTCCAGATGTTCTGATGTTCTAGTCTAAGACTGAAAAATAAAGCCTGTCAGCCCTGGGGGCTGTGAAGCAGAGCAGCGGCGTGTGGTGTTTCCTCACATGTAGGTCCACGGTGACAGAGACAAGTTGGCAATGCTTGAGTCCGACCTGATGGAGAGGTAGGAATACGCAGAGGGATCCAGAGCCAGTTTCACATTCCTTCCCTTCGGCCTGACCTTCTGCTCCAGCTCCAGCGAGATCAGACGTTTTTTACCAGCAGCAAGAAGCGCCGAGGCGAAACCCAGCAGGAGAAAAACTCTCACGACCTAAAAAAAGTCCATCATGAGATATGTGTCTTCTTAAAGCTCTGTTCTTTTAACCTCTGGATATTATGATGTTAATAGATTGGAAAGCAATACTCGGATTATTTAATGCATTAACATAATCGGTTCTACAACAGATCTCTTATTTAATAATCTCCTTTCCCAAACTACATATAGAAATAATCAAGCATAGTGATAATACTGAGTCATCTAACCCTTAAGTCACCCTGTGATGAAATCTGATGTAAAATGGAGATAAGTAAAGTCCTCTAACTCACCAGCAGCATGACTGCGTCTTCTCTGTGTTTCAGCTTCGACTGCGGCGCTCCTGTGCAGTCCTGCTGGCTTCAGGCAGTGTTTATATGCAGGCAGGCCGTATTGGTGTGTGTGCTGCCAACATGTGCAGCGACGCGCATTTCCGCCATGCCTTTCACAGATTTGGGTCACTTTTTTCTGCTTTTCTTTCTCTGTTTTCGGTTGTTTTGTTGTTTCTTTTAATTTTATCTTCATTTGTTTGTTTCGCTCTCACCTTTTATGATGAGTTTGCATTTTTTTCTAAACATAAAATAACACAAAGTTCCCCCTGTGGGAAAGTTCAAAGGTGACACCTTCACAAGTGGGTCAGAAGAGCGAAAATGTCTTCTCACCTATAGAACAGTGCATTTCCTGTTACCTGCAAGTAAAAAAACGGGTTTGTATAAAACAAAAAAGTGCAATGTCGGGGTTACAATTTTTGGTTTATTACACTTACACTGCAAAAATGTTCTGAAATGAGTAAATATTTCTTAAAATTAGTGTATGTACCCTTAATTTGAGTAGGAAATTAATTGATCTGCCTATAGAAGGAGCATTTCTACCATTTAAATAAGATAATTAGATATGCACTTGAAATAAGAGTCGGCAGTTGTTTTTCTCTTGTTTTAAATGTTAATTGTCTTATTCTATTGGCAAAGTGTATCAATTACCAGCTCAATTCAAGAAAAGAATTACTTATTTTAAGAAAAAATGACTTAGATTTACATTTTTTTACAGTGTAAAAATTAGCAACTAATCTACAGCAAAAATTCGATTTCAACTCATTTCTTTATTTAAAGTGATGCGTTGCCATCAGTACACAAACTGATTGGACTTTTATTATTAAAATGAACCCATCAACACGTATCATTCAAGCCTTCCCTCAGTTTTAATTCTTAACTTTTTTATTTGCTTCAGTGAGTCATTTAGTGGATTAGGCTTGTAGCTACACCTACACACTGCCAACACACTCTTAACATGTAGGTCAAGGAAATGCTGACAGAGATTCTTGGAATAAATCAGCATAACTCCAAAGGTATCTAATGTGATAACATCTTCTCGCCTCGAGCATCACATATGAGTAAGGACCCGAACAAACTGGAGCACAGCTTTTCTGGACAGCAGAGAGACATGTTTCTGAGCGCCAGGCCGTCTGGCACCTCTTCTCTCAGCGACATGAAATGCTTCACAAGATGCTGTCACACAGAAAATCAGATAAATGCACCAGTATGATCAAACAGGTTAAAGGGTTTAGTGCAGCTAAATCCCACACTCAGCCTCTCTAGATGTAGTTTTCTGAAAGTAAAGATGGGTTTTTCTTAGGCTTTCATGTTCTACTTCAATTAATCTGTTCTTTACAAGGTCAATAAATTTCTTTGGAATACATGTTATGCAGGTTTTAGGTCAAAACAATGCAGTAAAATATGTGAAGCAGAAAATAATTATGAATTCACATCACATGTCATCTCAAAGCACTTTACAGTTCACCAGATCATCCAGTCAGATTGATTCAAAGTTTTCTATCTAAGGAAAACCAGTTGATTGCTTTGACTCAAATGCAATCCCTTACACTGAGCATGCTTGTAGCGACAGTGGAGAGGAAAAACTATCTTTCAGAAGGAAGAAACCTCCAGCAGAACCAGGCTCAGTGTGAGCGGCCGTCTTCTGAGGCCGACTGGGGTTCATTATATTTACTGAAGTCTTGACTGTGGCAGAGACAGTAATATGCTTTAAGCCAGAGGTCTTCAATGATTTACAGGCCAAGGACCCCCAAATTGATACTGAGATGGAGCGGGGACCCCCTTTATTTTATATTAAATTGTGTTATATCAAACTGGTCCTACAGATGGAGTCATGTAATGAAAGTAATTTCTCCCTGGGATTATTAAAGTATTTCTGATTCTGATTCCTGGTTGATGGGGCAGGTGTTGTGAATGAAACGGTGTCCAGCTTGAAAGAGCTCCTGTGTGTCGCTGAATGTGTTCATTGATGACTGAAAGACATCTTCTGCCTCCATTTATCTGTTTACTACAGTGTGTTGAATTCGGGTTAATATGTTTTTAAAGATATTTCAATTAGTGGAAAAAATTGCAGTGGGGATATAAAAAGTCTAATCAACCAAAACTTTCACGACCCCCATGCAGTACCTCTGTGGACCCCCTAGGGATCATGGACCCCCATTACATTACTTATGTCATCGGCGGGTTTAACCCAAACCTCAAAAAGGTTTAATTTTCCAAAGTCAGTAACAATGTTTTTTCAGAACTTTGAAATTTGAATATTATGAGACAGGTTGCAGCCATCATACTTTGGTCTGATTAAACGTAAATTATTGTAACTTAAACAGGGGGTTTAACAATAATTTCACATTGATCCATCCATCCTCCTTCCATTCATCTATCCATCTGTTCCATCTATCCATCCACCCTTCCATCCATCTACAGTGATGACAGTAGCATATTATAGAAGTCTGCCCTACAACCAGAGGGTTTTTCAGTTCGAGCCCCGGCTCTGGCTTTCAGCATCACTGTGTCCTTAGGAAATACATTTCACCCACATTGCCTACTGGTGGTGGTCAGAGGGACCGGTGGTGCATGCAGCAGCCTCGCTTCTGTCAGTGAGCAACAGCCCAGCTGTTGCTACAATGTAGCTTGCCACCATCAGTGTGTGAGTGAATGAATAAATGTAGTGTAAAGAGCTTTGCTCGAGTCTTCTGACTTCAAAAAGTGCTATATAAGTACAGGCAGTTTACTATTTATCATCCATCCTTCCTTCCATCCACCCATCTATCCTTTATTCATCAAGTTCTCCAACAGTCCAGAAGTCAGAAGTTAACTAAAAATTATTTGTATTACTTATTCTGAGAGATTGTTTAACATATTCTTAAACTGATTTCTGAATATGTTACTTCTCTCTTGACCTTCTTCTGTCGTACCTTAATATTTCCAGTCATTCAGTCCATATATACAAACTACTTTCATTTGACCATTCAAAACTTTCAATTGTCATGGAATAGGACAGAAGGATCCAGTATTCAGGCCAACCAGAAAGCGGGATAATTCAAAACGTTTTATTAAAAACAAATAACAGGTTCGGAGCTGTGGATCTGCAGAGGCTGCGGCTGGACACCGCCCATCACTAGACACTCTCTTAGAGAAAAACACAGGTAAGTGAGCATGATAATCTAACGAAGGATGATTATCCATGTGAATCACTTACCTGGTTTTACAGTTCAGTCCATCTTCATGGAACATGGTAGAAATCAGCCGGAGCGCTGCCAATAAGATGCGGCGCCCAGAGTTTCCCAGATACTGCATTCCTGAAGGAGAAGCAGGGGTTTGAGCCAGAACAGGGAAACAGATCGGAACAGGAAAGTTTAAAAGGTCCAGGAGTCCAACAGAGAGTTCAGGCAGAACATTCAGTTTGGAACAGACAAGCCCAGTAGTAGAGAGGCAGAACAGGTCATGATACCAGGAACTACAATACGCTGAAAACTAGCTCTCTCCACTGAGCCAAAACAGGAACAGGGTACGCTCAGTGGATAAGAGACAGAACATGATCAGGAAAACAGGAAAACTATGAAACACTGTAAAATCCTCTGTCACCTCTGGCCCCCAAGAACGGGAGCATGAGCAACCTCAGAAAGCACAAACTCAATGATCTGGTTCTGAAAGCTGGGACGGAGCTAATAAAGAAGCAGAAGCAGTTTAATTAGATGAATGTTAATTGGAACCTGGACAGAGTTAGGCAGGTGAATGAAATGGGTAATTAGGCCAGCTCTCAGAGCCATAAATAAAACATTTTGTCTGAGGTTCTCCATTAAGCATCTGAGCCACTAGTCTAGATTTTGCAATAAAACGATATATAATATAATATAATATAATATAACATAAAACTGTGGTGTTAAAAATAAATCCCAGAGCCTCCTCTTTGACATTTCTGGATTTCTTCTACTCCTTATTCTATTCTTCTTTCATTTTTAATTGTAAAGTTTTTAACTGTATAAAATGTAAAGAAAAACTGTATCCTTTTTTATTTGGTTTATTTTTTGTATAAAATTAAAAGTATTATTCAGAAAAATAACACAGTAGCACCAAAAGTAATCTTTAGAAATTTTCTTTCTTAACACTAATGCACTTTTAAAACGAGCTGTTTGTTAAGAGCCTGAACAGAAATTATCCTAAAGAGGGGGGGGCTTACTACTTAGTTTTGGACTTACTACTATGCTGAATTTGGACCAGAAGATTTCTTTTATTTTTTTACACATATGTCTTTTATTTCCCATTTAGCAACACTTTTTATGTCTGTTCACAAGCAGAATTGGACTGGCTACAGCAATGAGATGCTATGCGGTGATCTTAATGTGATTAGTTACTTTAGGATTTAATGTTTTTATATTGTTTAAACTAAAGAACCAGATGTTTTGCAGATCATGATGCAGATCCAGCTAGTGGCACGCAGCACATCTTGCTGTTTACTTCCTTACCTAGTTCATTTAACTTTAACTCTAGCTCAGGTAATAGTCGCTCATCATGACCTTAATGAGACCTTAAACCTGCTGGGTGATTAGCTGTAACATGCAATAGTCCACTCTGAGTCAGCTTTTTTTCATTCTGGGGTTTGCTGCGCTGCTTCCACCTCTTCCTCTGCGCCCTCCCCATCTCCTTTCTTGCAGCCCTGTTTAAGTCACATAGTGTTAACCTTATGGCTAATAAATGACAATAGATTTCCTCAGACCGCGCCTATTATGGATGTGTGCTGCAGTGTGATGCTACCACCACCAGGTTTCAAAATAGGGAAAAGAATAGTTTTCCTCCATGCATGTGTTAAATTTTGGTTTCATCTTCTTCCACATGTGTGCATAGCTTATAGCAAACTATAAAACTGTTTTACTGCAGAAGTCTGCGGTTTACTCTCTAAACTGCAGACTTCCCCAGGTTATCACATTTAGAAGGCAGAGCCCACCTGGTTAAGACTGGCAAACCTCCAGGGA